CCTTTTCTGTTCCACCATGAATGTGACCCAGGTCCATAAAGACATGGTTGGATGAGTTTGGTGTGGAAGAATTTGACTGGCCCAGACAGAGCCCTGACATTAACCCCATCGGACACCTAATATATATATATATATATATATATATATATTACCTGGATACATCAAATTTAAAAAAAATAAATAAATGTAAAGGATCTTTTAAAAAATAAGAAATTAATTTGCAAATGCTAGAGAACAAAATGCTTACAAAAATGCTTAAAATTCTGTGAGTGCCACAAGACAAAATACATTTTTTTGCATTTTCTGAAGAAGTATTAATATTTTCTATGGTCTGTTTATCAGGTTAATTTATTTTCTCATTGAGAATATGTTTTTAGAGCATATGTGCTTATGAGTTTGGTGTGTTACATTAATTATGTTTGGGTGTTTCTCCTTCATGTCTTTGGGAACAGGCATCTAGCTTCTGCTGGACGAATACCTGAAGGTGAGTCTCATTAGATTATGTTAAGTAATACATAATATTATGTTAAATATTATTTTAATTATTAATTATCAGTAGAGTAAGACTAGACGGTCTCCTTCACATCTTGCTAGTATGTTTTCTAGGCAAAGTACTCCACGCAAATGGCTGCAATATAACAAAGAGTGAAAAATTTAAGGGGGTCTGAATACTTTCCGTACCCACTGTATATATATATATTACCTGGATACATCAAATTAAAAAAAAATAAATAAATGTAAAGGATCTTTTAAAAAATAAGAAATTAATTTGCAAATGCTAGAGAACAAAATGCTTACAAAAATGCTTAAAATTCTGTGAGTGCCACAAGACAAAATACATTTTTTTGCATTTTCTGAAGAAGTATTAATATTTTCTATGGTCTGTTTATCAGGTTAATTTATTTTCTCATTGAGAATATGTTTTTAGAGCATATGTGCTTATGAGTTTGGTGTGTTACATTAATTATGTTTGGGTGTTTCTCCTTCATGTCTTTGGGAACAGGCATCTAGCTTCTGCTGGACGAATACCTGAAGGTGAGTCTCATTAGATTATGTTAAGTAATACATAATATTATGTTAAATATTATTTTAATTATTAATTATCAGTAGAGTAAGACTAGACGGTCTCCTTCACATCTTGCTAGTATGTTTTCTAGGCAAAGTACTCCACCCGCTGGTACACTTGATTAAGTACACTCTAGAAAACACTTCCAGTATACTTCCTTGAACATTTTCCCAGAGTCTACCACTGAACTAGACCAACCCTGTCTTACTTCCGAGCAAGGGAATGTCTGAGGTCACAGTTCTTCTGTGTCCCCATTGTGTCTAAAAGCAAAGAATGATGAGGCTAAAACATCTGATATATTAGAGCTGATGCAAATGAAACGGTCATTTCATGACTCAGACCACTAGGGGTCGATATGCTCTCACACAAACAAGTGTCTTATGCTCAGTGGGCTAATGATAAAAATATTTTCAAAGGGTAATTTCAGTGGGCAGTGTTCTTTCTGACTGCTTTCTAATCTGACACGCCACATTTAAAAATCTGACACATTAAATTTCCAGCTGAATTTCTTTCTCAGAGGCAGTCCACTCGTACTGAGGACAAGGTTAGTCCTGTTAATCCAGTGTTTTCCATCTGCTAGATCTTATTTTACGTAGCATATACTCAGTCAGCCTCTAGGCCCTAGTGTTTCTTTAATCAGCCAGATCTACTTTCTGATGACCCTGTCATTAACTGTCAGTATTAAGAAGTAGCTTGTTCATGCCCTTCATACACTATCATTTAAAAGTTGGGGCCTGTAAGATTTTCGTAATGTTTTTGAAAGAAGTCATACTCACCGAGGCTGCATTATTTGATCCAAATACAGTAAAACTGTAATATTATGAAATATTAATACAATTTAAAATAACTTTATTTAAATATGGTCGTCACATGATCCTTCAGAAATCATTTTAATATGCTTATTTGGTTCTCAATAAATATATTATTATCAATATTGAAAACATTTGAGCTACTTACTGTATAATACAACTGTGAAACTTTTTTTTCAGTATTCTTTGATGAATAGAAAGTTCAGACAGCATTTATTTAAAGAGGAATCTTTTGTAACATTATAAATGCCTTCACTGTCACTTTTGGTCAATTTAACAAATCCTTATCGAATAAAAGTATTAATTTCTTTCAAAAATTTTGTTTAAAGAGTCCCTACAAAATGTAATTTAAAAAGAAGAAACAAACCTATAAGGTGCAGGTCAACCTATTTGTATTTTTTCTTAATCGTTGTATTACTGTTTTTTTTTTTTTTTTTTCAATTTTATTTAGTAAAGATCCTTGGTAGTATGTAGACAACACCATAGTCACAGCACTGCTTATTATGACTACAATCTCTATGAAATAATTAAATCTTAATCTTATAATAATAAGAAATGGCCGCAAAAGCCTTAGAAATGTCCAATTCATTGATGAAAAGATGTGGAAACCCTGCGCGAAGTTTTACATTTTTTAAATCTGTCTGTCCCCACAGGTTGTCAGATCTTCTCTCTTCACTCCATCAGCTTACTCAGAAAGTACGTGTCAGTCCTAGAGCTGCCAGTCAGCTGGCTCCTCCCCTCTGATTTCTGCTGCATCATTGGATGGGAGGAGTATAAACGTGCCAAGGTGCATCATCAATCGTGTTTAAACAAAGAGCTTAAGCTCTGATTATACTTAATGACCCCTGAACTAAAACTAGACACCCTGGATCAGTAATGATCAGAAGTGATCGGTTATGACTTCCAAACTTTACAAGTCTGTCACGTGATTCTTAGTTTTTACAGTCCAGCTGTTTTCAGATGAATTCCCAAACGAGACGCTGAATGACAGACTATGAATACAGAGCATTCATAACTTGCGTGCATAACTGAAAAGCTCCTTCTCAAAAACAATGGCTATATTGCTGATTAACACATTGGTACTTTTGAACCTTTACTGTGAACATTAACTAATCCTGCTGAGAGGTTCCTCTGTCTGACCTGCCGAAGCCTGAACTGGCCCTACCAGTCTGGTTTCTAACAGTAGCATGCAGATGATAGCATGTTCAGCCCTGTTGTGTGTTCGTTTGTCATCTCGAGTCAGGTCATCTACTTAATTTCATTAAGTTATATTAATATAAGTTATATAAAAAAGATAAATCTCCTCACAGTTATCTACTCAAAAAATGCATGTCATTGCTCTTGTCTTACAGTCTGTTCATTTCTCTCTCCTCTTCCTTCCTCAGAAAGCCATGCTCTGTCATCGCTCTCAGCTGCTGTGGTTCCGCCGGCTCTACATACTTTTCTCGCGCTACATGCTTGTAAACACATTCCAGGGCATCACCGTGGAAACAAAGAATGTCAAGATTTATTAGCTTAGATCAGTGATCTTCACTATTTTTTTCACGAGAGCCGCACTTATAGGACAAAGTTAATAGGAGAGCCACTTTTACTGCAAAGTATGAAAAGTTACATCCAGTCATAAATAGCATGTCTGCTTCTCAATCTGTCATCCCTGAACATACAATATGCAATGCAATACAAAGGGGTTTATTTTTAAAAGTTATTTTTTATTAAAGTCATGCTTGTAAACACATTCCAGGGCATCACCGTGGAAACAAAGAATGTCAAGATTTATTAGCTTAGATTGTCTTGGGCACTGTTTCTGTCCATGTAGGACTAAAGTTATGCACTGACATTTTTTAATAAAGGTTTACTTCATTCCAAATATGATGTGATTAAATTACTGTACAGTGACAGCATATATCAATAAGGTTCAGTCAGCATATCCAACCTGCAGACACTAATGGAGAACTGCTGGCATAAAGAACCTTAGAGAATTTTATACCAAACAATACAATATTCTGAAAGCCAGATTTCTGGGGAGGTTTAGGTTTTGGGGAGTTAAGCGCTTTAATACAGTATAGTTAAATCCAAAACACAGATTGTGCCATTGAGTATGCAGGGAATGAAGGACAAAATGTGATTCTGTATATTATTGACCTTTTCTGTTACTTCTGTTACTGTTGTTATTGGACTTTGTTGTTACTGGATTTATTAAAGTAGAGTTCCAAGTAAAGCACTGTTCCAAATGGATCAATAAGTACTGTACCAAATCTTATGATTCAGTATGGTTTCAAAACGGACACGTGTTTCTGATTTCTTTGAGCGAAGTCTGTAACTCTATTAGTATATGTTCTGTGATGACTTCAAACATATGCCAATGTAGAGCAATGCGATAATTTTGTTTAATATAAATTCTATAAAGACATTTTTTTTTTGGATAAATTAATTTTTATTAGATTTCCTCTTAGCTAACACCCTCAATACAAACAGATATTAACACAATACAAACATGGGTATATATCATTCAACAATCTTCACCAAGTTCTCACAAATATCTATATTACTATGATTTCCATTCAGTTTTGCTAACATTTTTTTCATACGATATGTCTGTTGATACATTTCTTAAAGGGGTCATATGATGCGATTTCAAGTTTTCCTTTCTCTTTGGAGTGTTACAAGCTGATTGTGCATAGATAAGATCCCTGAAGTTGCAAAGACTAAAGTCTCAAAACCAAAGAGGTATTCTTTATCAAAGTTAAGACTCTGCCACGCCCCCCTAAAACGGCTCGTTCTAACACGCCCACATGTCTACGTCACTATTTGGGAAGATTTGCATAACGCCGCCCAAATGTTCACGCAAAGAAAGAAGGCGTAACTTTTATTCTCGCTGTAGTATTGTTGTTGTGTTGAAGCAGCATGTCAGGGAGACGCTGTGTGTTTCTAGGTGAAAGCAAAAGCACTTTATTTGGCCTTCCGGAAGTAGATGCATTTAGGAATCTTTAAGATTACTTACAACAGAACAGCAATGCATTTTATGGACGACCGTTTCGTGAACCTAGGTGAGGAGGTAATTCTGACTTTGCTATGACTATCTGGCGCTTCTGAATCAGCTACTGTTTTGTTATTAGTTTAAGTATTTGCTATTGACTGTTCAAATTGTGTGTGTGTGTGTGTGTGTGTGTGCGCGCGCGCGAGCGAGAGAGAGCGAGAGAGCGAGACACGTGGAGTCAGCTGTCTTAACCGTGGCTTGTGTACTGCAAACACATATTCATCACTGTGTCTGTCACGCGACTCTGTTCCCCTTTCGGGCTCTGTCTTTACATTTATTTTGAAAGATGAAGCTCGCGATTATGGTAAGGGGCGTTACATTTCCGACGAGTGCTTGCGGTGTTCGGCCAATCACAATGCACTGGGTCAGCTGGCCAATCAGAGCAGACTGCGCTTGTCGGAAGGAGGGACTTTGTAGAAAACGAAGCGTTTGAGAGAGGCGGGGCATAGAGGACTTACAATAATGTACAGTATTTGAAAAATAATGTGTTTTTTGAACATTAAAGCATGTCAACATATTCTGTTACACCAAATACACAAAATAATGATCTTTAAAAAAGCATCATATGACCCCTTTAAGGAAGCAATATATAATTTAGAGGGAGATGATGTTTTCATTCTAGACTAAAATAAGCTATTTCAAAAAATCTGTGTATACAAGATGATTCATGAATATTTTTGGTCCAATTTCTCAGAAAATAAATATTTATTGTAAATGTTTATATCTGTTAAAGTGAATTTTGTCAACAATTTGGAGTACATTAGCATATACATTAGGTGTCCTTAAAGCCAATAGACAAAAGCCACAAAACCTTAAGTTTGATTCATGGTGTCACTAATATATCATTAAAACTGCCTTGAGAAGCAGGAGAGTACAATTTAGTCTTAGAGCTTAATTGGCCAACAGAAACAGTGAGTCATGTGTCTGTTGTTTGTTTTGACATACTTCTTATAGTTTGATGCTTCTGCATACTTTCCTCCCAGTTCTGCCCACAGAAGTCTTCTACAGTGACACTGCTCACTGTTCCAGGGTCCAAACAGTGAGGTGCCACACCTGTAAACACATGGCAGATTTCTAACTTGTAAAAAGACACACATATAACAGAGCAAATATTTTTCTTCAACAAGAAGATGAATAATTTAATAGAAAGCAAGGTACTGCGTCTATAATCAATTCCCATGCAGTAAAAATTAACTATAAAAAATAAAATCAATAATTAAAATAAAACATCCAAAAAGCTTTCTGATCAACTCACCAAATCCATCAGGGTTGGAACGTGGCGTGTAGAAACTCTGGACACCACACGTTTTGCAGAACGTGTGCTTGGCCATGTGTGTATTAAATGTGTATGTGGTTATGTTGTCTGATCCCTATGAAACATGATAATTGTATGATTTAGGATTATCTGCATTCTGAACAAATGTATTTTACACTCTTCATCTATTCTACACCAAACATCCAGCCTCTAAAGCTCCAGTGTACATGCTTCAAATCCCATACCTGCAGCAAGGTGAACTGGGATTTTGGCACAATGAAGTGGAGATTCTGTTTCTTTGTACAAATACTGCAACTGAGACACAAGAACGTGAAACAATCAGGTGGGTTACCTCATGGAAAGGGGACTTTAGTCTCTTATATGAAAACAATGACTAACTATGAAAAGCTGACACCAACTTGTAGCTAGCATCTCTGATGTACAATTTCATAAATAAAACTGACAATCATAATAACATCATCATTAATTTTTATCACATTTTCGTCCTACGTCTGTCAGTAAGGAACTATTTGAAATAGATCACTTCATCATGATTTGTAAACAACTGATTATTTACAAATGAATAGGCTATTTGTAGAAATGTCAGCATCAAGACTATATTTTACCTTGTAGTGCCGTGACACTGTTGGCAACAACTGATGGCATTAACATTTAAAGACATTCTTTGCCTAACAGAATGATTTAAGGCTTTTCATTATGTAAAATACCCCCATTTCTTCGAATGACCCAGATGACACTTTCCACTGCAAAGTATTCAGAAAGCCATCCACGTGATCCCACAATCACACGTTTTGACCATTGTACTGGGAGTGTGTTAATGGCTGTAGACGGTCCTTACTTGCAACTGAACACGTGTAAATCTGGAGCGCTCCACACCTCAAAACGCACCGCGCCACAGTGGCAACCTCCGGTGTGTTTCACAAGACCATCACGCTCCCTGGAAAAACAAGTTGACAAGTACTTGAGACGATCTGTACCTCATTGGCTAATGTACTTAACAATGTATGCGATCAAGGGACTTTAGTTAAATATAGTTATTTAAGGGATAATGTAATTATTTAAGGGATTGTTTTTTAGTTGGGATAGGCAAAGATAAACACCCGTGTATTTTGTGTTTAATGTCTCATTTTTTCGAACTCTCTTTTCATGACGCAGGGAAAGATAATGTTACTTATAGTCTACCTTTTGTCTTTAGTTAAGTACGCCATTCGTTTAGCACCTCTAACTTAATGTATGGTAAACTGGTTGCTTGTCGTCTTCAACCTAACCGGTTTAAACTGTTAAGTCATGCTCTCCTGTAGAACATTCCATACTTTGTTGATAACCATCACTACTGCTTGCAAAACAGAACAACCACTGTTGACTGGCTGGGTCACATGCTTCAGCCAGCTCATTTTGCCCTCGGCGTCATCTGGTTCCACCCTTTCAGCTGTTGTAATACAAGCCCAGACAAAGTCCAGGATAGCATCAGAGCAGGAAAACTTGTTTTCTTCGAAACAGGCTGAACTGTATTGCATAAATATAAATAAGTCATGTATACATAATACAGATGGTCTATGAACATTAGTCAATCAGTCAAATGTGATGTGATGTGAATGTGAACATCAGTCAAATGTGATGTGATGCCAAAACTCTTCCATCACTGACAAAGATATTCAAACAATATGGTGAAACTTTAAACATAGGCAAGTTATATCAATATTAGCATTACAGCTTATTTCTTAACATCCTGTATTTGTATTGTCTGGTGTTAATAACAGATTAAATTACAGGCAAGAATATATTGAACATTTCCAGTGATACGCACACACTCCTGAAAGTTCAAGGTACACAAGATCTGAATCTGAACAAACTCTTGAGTTCAGTGATGTGGCAAATCATGTGATATGTATCAGCACGGGTCAGGCAATAATAACCAGGACATTTCTAGTGAATTTCAGAACATTTATGTTATGTATTTCCTGTAATTTCCTTGGGAAACTTTTCCTTCAATAGAAAGCACATCTTTGCTTTTAAGAACATAAAGCAAAAACACTACAAATGACATTATCAATTTAGAAGAGCAGTGAGGTAAAATAGAGATCTCAAATTTATATTAACATAAATGCTGACCAACTCGTGATATTATTAGATCCCTTTCAAGTGCCAAGTGTCACTGAGTTAAGATGGAGACCCAAATGTAACAGCAGACAAGACCATATCTATAATCCTAAAAACAAACTGATGACACCATCTTAAAGATCACTATCTCGTCCTAGTTGTCATCTTAAACTTTTACCTGTTTAAGAAGTGAAATAAGTCTAAATGTAAAATCTCCCCCACCCCTCAGTTTTCAAGAAAACTTGCTTAGTTGGGTGATCTAGATAATCTTGTAGCAGCTGTTCATGCTCACGGAAGAAGGAACAGGGGCCTGATTCCACAATGATACTAATCCACTAAGTGGATGACTGTCCAGATAAACAAGGCTCAAAGAGCGGTTTCACAATAGAGTCTCCTTTTGAAGTCCAAGCCAGTTAATGTTTAATCATCTTGAGTAATTATTTTATGGTAGCCTATTTTATTTTAACATCACACCCACAGTACTGTACGTTCTGGTAAAAGAAACAAACTGCTTACAACAGGCGGTAACCAGCAATACCTCAGGGAAACCTCAGAGCAAATTTAGAGCTGGTTCATCTTGTTTGTAGTTTTGTTCATGCATGCTTGTCTTTTGCCATGGCAACACAAAGTCACATGGGAAATAACAGATTTCTGTCCAACACATAGTGTACAGTATAGAAAAATGAATGAAGCCATGAAAATTATAACTTTAGCATTAGACCTTTCTGTAATAACAGAGGATAGTGCCAAGACTAACAAAGTAAAGCTAACAAAATCCCATCATTTTATTTATAAGTCAGGTCCTACTTTGTAACAGTGGTGAATGTCTGTTAACTTAGCCAGATAAAATGACCTACATTGCTGCAACAGATACTGCAGGCAGCATGTCTGAGGCCAACTTGTTTCAAATCAATGCCATCTATCACACATTGCATTCTATATTAAGCGTGCTGGTTGACACAACTCTGTAAAGCCATAGGCTAAAACACAAACAATGTACTTCATGGAAACACAGCTACAGTGAAGCTGATTTTTGTAAACAAACCATGTTTTTGAGCAAACACTATTTTGGGGACAACAGCCTGTCATTTCTGGGCTATAATTATGCTTTAAAAACACAAAAACAAAAACATGCAGAACTGGTCCCATAACTTTAACAAGGGATTGTAGTTTTTGATACAATTATTAGCAAGACTGATTTAAGAATATGAAATCTTCCAGACTATTCTATTTGTGTTATCACTGTATGACATCGCCCTACTCTTTGCCTGGCCCAGATTCCAAAGGTCTGAATCGCCGCAAAGAGAACAAGCAACACAACCAGCCAATCACTGCCTGAAGGGTGTACCAAAGGCCAGCCCATTCTAGCATATTCTTCCTTTTTTGATACTTTGTGATAATAATTATACATTTAAAATACATATACAAAGCATGTAATTCCTAAAAAACATCATATAAATCTTCAGTTTGAAAGCATATTTGAACGTTTTAACAAATAGAAGTTTTGACAGCAGAAGGACCTTGTCATGTGACGTAGCATAAACGTCACTCCCCTGGGTTTGTATAAATACAGTAGCACTCACATTCAGCGGCAGATTTTTCTACGAAGAAGAGGACACGTACATTTTCAGAAGAAATATCAAAAGTCTACAAGCTTGTCTAAAAGGTAAGAATGAACATCCGATTGGTTTGATAATATTACTCAAGACTTTAAGAATAAATTCTTAATGTGTTGTTGTATTGCATTGATTCTTGTCGGTCATTTTTAGATGTCTAAGTTAGACAAATTAAGCTGTAATTCACAATTCTTTTAATCAGAGTTAGAAGCGTATCATCAAAGGTTACGTTACAAAATTGATGTGTTTGCTACTTATTTGTGAAGTTATTATATTCGTGCTTTACGATCGGGTATCAGATGTGTTTTTGCTGAATCATAGTACGCTGAACAAAGAGCCCGGATGTTACTGTAACGCCGCCATGTTAGAGAAAGGTTGCATGGTGTTGCGCAGTACAGTTTTTAAATAAAACAAAACATCTCTTAGTTCTGCTGTCGTTTATTTACTTTTTGAAAATTATTTCTGATTTTTTTTTTAGATAACCGAGTATGTTATACTTTGATATGTAGGATATAATAATTCATAAGACCGTTTAGCAGGTACTTTTAGCAAGTACTTACGTTTGGCATTTTCCACTGCCAGTCTTAAAATGGTCTTTCGGGAAAATCGTTAAAAAGTAAAAAATTAAGAAAAAAACCATTGAAATAAAATCGTTCTGGATAAGGGTACCGTATCACTGTTTAATCATGTTAACGTTACTCCTATTTAAGCAAATGCTTTTATATTAAAGTGAGGAAAAATAAAAACCGAATGTATCTATTAAATTAAGTCATGCTAATAGTGTAGTAAACCGTGATAAATTGATTATGTAAGGCCACCCCCCCAACCCCCCAGAACAAAATGTTAGTTCTGCCCTGAATTCGTGCCATTATTTGTGGTTGACAGAGCTGCCTTCAAACTTTTCTGGTTGACCAACGCAAGTGAGGTGCAATTAAATACTTAACTTGCTAGAGCATAGTGCTATCACAAACAAGTGGGATTTCTTTGGAGTTTTGTGTGGCGTTTAATAAATCTTTCAGAAGCCTAAAGCATTCATCTATGATCTCCGCTAGGGCTGCACGATTAGTCGAATGCGATTGTCATGCGCATTTTGATAGTAATGCGGTTCTGTAATCAGCAGGAAATCATCATCACGTGCTTTCAGATGGAGCAGCATTTACTACACATAGCCGTAATTCACTGACAAGTTACGCAAAAAAATCGCAGACGATTTTATTGTGCGATTATGAAATCGAAGAAATCGTTCGCGATAATGACAGCTGTTTGCATAGCTTCTCAGTGCACTACGGCTGTGAAGTAAATGCTGCTCCATCTGAAAGCATGTGAAAATACCACATTTAATAACATATTTTTACTCCAAACTCACTTCATAATGTCAGTCGAGTGTTTGAAATACATCCTTCTGTGAGATGATGTGGCTTCTTACACAGAATAAGGCACGCAACATATTTCATAGTATTTAAGCAGTGATAAAGGCATTGCATTATAAATATACTTTATTTTAATGAAAATTATAATAAAAAGAACTCAGATAAACCGTATATTGCCGTAGTCGTGTGTTTATTAGTCACGTTGAATCAATGAAAGCAGTTGAATCTTCTGTTTATTCAGCTGCTGCAATAGGCCTTTCCTGGGTTTCTTCTGCGAGGCGTATTTGGAGTTTCAGCGCGAGAGCTCCCTCTGGCCTTTGGATGGAGATTTACTGCTGATCACAGAACCGTGCTTCACTGAAAGATATGCATGACAATCGCAGCTTCTGTCGAATCGCGATCTCGATTCCATTTCGATTTATCGTGCAGCCCTAATCTCTGCTTTCATTTTGCTGTAAATGAATGTGTTCGGATAGTTTTAAATTAGTTGATGCATGGTTGATGAGATGTATATTAGGGCTGGTAAGTGATTAATTTTTAATCTAATTACATGATGTGGCGATTAATGAATCGAATGAATCGCAAATTAATCGCACATCAAATTTGGCTGAGAAATTACTCCCAAAAGATAATTTAAAGTCATTGTTGTGTAAAGCATCAAATAGACATTACAAAAAGTAGCTTCAGCAAGAAATATTTTGTTAGATAAAATTTATTACATATTCTCTTTTGGACCATGAGGGTGAGGTAAATGATGACACAATTTTTGGGTGGGTGAACTATACCTTTAATAATTATTATTACTATGGAAATATGAAATTATTTCTTTACTGAAATGATGCTCTAAATAATAAACTAAAACTGCCAGTAGGCGGTGGTAAAACGGTCTTAATGATTAAGTCATCGAGTCATTTATTCATTCATTTGATTCGTTCAAATGGATGATTCTTTCATGAGTGAAGTAAATGGTTTGTAAAGGTTATGAATGGTCCATTGAATCATTAGGCTTGTTCGACTTGAAGCGGATCATCATCATCAGACCGATCGGTGTGTGACATCGAAGTACTGCGAGAGCTATAGAGAGTAGACGGCTCCTTATGCTTTTGAATCGCTCTCGCTGGCCTTTGATGTCATACACCGATCGGTCTGTGCAGCGCCGCTTCAAATCCAACGTGCCAATGGTTGAATGCGCCAAATGGTTCACCCAATTCAAAACGTGCATTAAAGGGTTAGTTCACCCAAAAATGTTTTTTTTTTTACTTGCCCTCGAAGCATCCTAGGTGTATATGACTTTCTTCTTTCAGACGAATCCAGTCGGAGTTATATTAAAAATAGTCTTTGATCTTTCAAGCTGTTTAATGGCACTCAGCAGGTGTTGCAGTTGAACAGTCCACAAGTCGTCAAATAAAGCTCGCACATTCATAATAAAACGTGCCGCAGACGGTTCCGGGGGATGAATAAAGGCCCCCTGTAGCGAATCCATGAGTTTTTGTAAGAAAAATATCCGTATTTCAAAAGTAATAAACACTTTTCTCTTACTTCCGTTATCTATCATACGCGGATCTGTTCCGGCGGAAGGCGTATGACGTATGCGCAGCGTGCGCGCCTCGGAGATATGCTAGTCTCGCGAGTTTGTTTAATAGGAGCAAAGGAAGCAAAGTTTCCTTACTTTAGCAAAGGAAAACCTCTTGGTCTCCTCTTGGTTTATATCGAAATCCTCCGACAAATATTTCTTTGCAAATCTTCGGTTTGTACTTCTTATTCGTGACTGGCGTTTTGATTTGTTCTCTCTCCGCATTGACACTCATGGATTCGCTACAAGGGGCCTTTATTCATCCCCCGGAGCCGTCTGCGGCACGTTTTATGAATGCGCAAGCTTTATTTGACGACTTGTGGACCGTTCAACTGCAACATCCGCTGAGTGCCATTAAACAGCTTGAAAGATCAAAGACACTTTTTAATATAACTCTGACTGGATTCGTGCCATTAAACAGCTTGAAAGATCAAGACAATTTATAATATAACTCTGACTGGATTTGTCTGAAAGAAGAAAGATAGTCATATACACCTAGGATGCTTCAAGGGTAAGTAAAACACAAGCTAATTTTCATTTTTGGGTGAACTAACCCTTTAAGAAATGAAATGCCGCTGTGTGTTGCTCGGAGACGAACAGTTCTGCTTTGTCTTTATATTTTCGTTGGCAAAATTGAGCAAAACAGACAACATTGTCTAAAATAACACAATATTAACTTCTTACTTACTGAACTGTTGTATAAGATCAGTATCACATTTGCACTTGTGTGATATTGCACTTAGCCTATTGATCGTGTGATATTGCTTAACTATGATGTAAATACAGAGCCACCGCAGCACTGATGGCTGAGGTGTAACGAAAGGGGGCGATGACATAGCACAAAGTAAAAAAAACATATGTGGCCCGTTCACGTATTTGTCGGACCGTAAACAAACCTGCCCGCTACTATTAGAATACTGGGTTCACACAGAGTGTTCTGGTCGCGAGACAGGTCAGTCAGTTTTTTTTTTTTTTTTTAACCGCAAGGTCTAGAGACGTGTTTTTAGAAGCTAAATTTCTTTGAACTTGAGAGCTGTGTTTTAGAATGATGTATTATGCGCGACAAGCTGCTATAAAGACCTTAGGCAACAAATTCGAAAATCTGACATCTAGGAAATAATGTCTTAGGCAGCAGTTTTACCACAAATACAGACAAGTGATACCACCACAACCACCAGAAATACTTAATTGTGTCTGCTTTACATTGAAACGCAAGCTTATTGCGACCGATTCCCTGACATAACACATTCATTGCGACCCATTTAACAGATGCATCATTTTAAGTTGGAACAGCAACAAATAATAACAATACAGCGAAATAATCAACTAACTACGACCATCTAGCCCTCTATTAAACATTAAAGAATTATTTCATCATACCTTTAGGTTACTCAGTAGTGCTGCATTCTTAGTTGAACCGCTTGCGCTGAAAGTTTGTGTGTCAGATGTAACCATTAAAATGCGACTTCGTGAAACGGACTGTCCTAAATTGTTGCTATAGTAGCATCATATTAATGCTAGAAAGCCTATGCATTTGGCAACTGTATTTTTTTAAATAAACCATTATATTTCATAAAAAAATCTATTTTCACACTCATCTTGAGTGATAGTCCGAGTGAGGGGCGATGCCCCCTGTGGCACCGGCCCGGTGTAAATGAGACAAAAACTAAAACGGGGGCATTTTTGCCCCATATCTTGAATTTTAGGGACATTCTAACTACGTTCTCTAGGCTCCATCACGCAGTGAGTTGTTGCCCTGCCTCATATTTGTCATCCATCAACTGTATGGAATGTCAGATGACCCACATAGGTCTGGGGCGGGGCGGGGCAAGTGCGTTAAATGCGTTAATTTTAACGTGTTATTTTTTTACAGTAATCTAATTAACGCATTAAATTACCACCCCTAATATATATATATATATATATTATATTATATTTAATGTATATATATTTTTTTTGTTTATAGATGCAGATCTTTGTCAAAACCCTCACTGGCAAGACGATCACCCTTGAGGTCGAGCCAAGCGACACCATTGAGAACGTCAAGGCAAAAATCCAGGACAAAGAAGGCATTCCCCCTGACCAGCAGAGGTTGATTTTTGCTGGCAAACAGCTGGAAGATGGTCGCACACTGTCTGACTACAACATCCAGAAAGAGTCCACCTTGCATCTGGTGCTGCGTCTCAGGGGAGGTTCAGATATTTAAACTGACAATCTCAGAAATGGACATTTAATTCTTTCAGTATCCCCTGTTCATGCACTCCCCACATTGTCCCCTCCTCTCTCCGTACTTTATTACTGAATCCAGTTACATTTTATTACTACTTTTTTTTTTTTTTTTTT